AACTGTGTGACATGTTTCTCACTTCGTAGACGTGTTTTTGACGAACCCGCTATTTCTTTCATAGCACATAATATTCGGAATATACATAAGCGGCGATACGAGGTAATGAAATAACCACTGTTATAAGGTTGTACCAGGCATTCAATATTCGACAGGTAGAATTTCTGATGATACCATTGATCAATAACCTGACCAGCTTTGTATTATATGACCTGGACAGACGAAGCATGTGGTATACTTCATCTGTTTACAGATATTCCTGAAACTGACTTTTCTTTATAATCAAATTGGAGAGATCTAAAAAAATTTAGCCCGTTTTTATATCATCTTGATTTTAGTTCTAAAGAAATAATACTTGTTTTCGTTAGAAATATTGTGATATATCAAGTCTAAAAAAAGTACATGTATTTTCATAAATTATATTAATTTTCATAACTCCTGATTTATAATTAACCATTAAATTCTGTCATCTTTCAACACCGAAAATCACCAACACTGAATACAACACGACTCTAACCTTAAGATTATGTTTAATACTATTGTTACGTGTGTATATGACAGTACTGCGGTATAACCAGAGCTACAATTATATCATTGCTTTATTGGCCTGTAGACTGCCATGACCGCTCTAAGTGTGTATGAGGAATTTGAAAACAGGTAAAAATATTAATAAGGCTAGCTGGTTTTCATTCAAACACACCAAGCTGGAAGCACCACTAGAATGCTGTTCAGCTAAGAGAATAACATCTGAGCTGCTTACTTAGTACTCGCCATTATTCACCTGCCAATCACATATATGGTCAGTTGGGCACAATGAAAGAACATGTTTAAATGACTGTGGCATTTCTATGTATATACCAGCTGTACACAACAACTTTGGTCTGACTACTGAGTGATCATTCAGGAACCATGTTCCCGTTGATTTGCTTGCATGTATCTGACAAAAGATATGGAGTTAGACCGTGGATAGTGTCTGAAGACCAATAGTCACGGTATATAATTACTCTCTAATTTAGCGATATTAAAGAAATGCCTTTTGATGCAGAAATGCTTTATAATTATCATATTCCCTTTACAAAATTTTAGATATAATAACATCAATTATTCCATTTTTTTCAAACTAAACTAGCAGTCAAACTGAAATAAGGTAAAAAATATCACACAATTTTATTTCAAAGCCTAATTTGATAGTATAATTGCAAGATGAATTGTGTGACTGAAAAAAAATCTTGTTTTCATCCTTTGAATCTACTCTTTGATATACTGTATGTTTCCAATGAAGTTACACTGTAAACGAGGACACATCGGACAAGGTATCTAGACTACAATACATAAAGACAAAGTATGTGAGACATAATCCCTCGTGGCATTCCAGGCGAAAGTTATATATGCCATCTCCTAGCACTACTCTTTTTATGGCCAATACTTCGTTGCTGCGTCAGAAACACGCACATTATCTTTCGACTACCATGTTGAAAATTGACGGAAGGGCCGTATATATTTATACGTTATAATTTTTTGCATAATTTTGACCTGCATATCGCTGTCTTGTTCCCCTTCTGATGTTTCATCAGAAAAAAGGTGAGAAAAAGTGTGGAAAGAGCTAGCTTTTTGCTTAGTTGCATTTTTTTTCATACCAAGAATGTCGTCTATGTGCCTTTACTGAAACAGGGATGTTACAGTTGAATTTTTGGACAAAGCCGATTATGTGGCTTGATACCAATTCAAATATGACTTAGATTATTTTCTTGCTTGGAGAGGGACAAATACATGTATTAATATAATAATTATAATATACTATATAATAATCTTGTCTTAAAAAAGGTGGATGGGTTTGTCTTAGTGGGAAGTTATAGAAAAATAACGACTGTTCATTTTCATCATTCACTGTAATTTTTCAGTACTGTTCATTGATGTCTCTCGGTCAGTGAATACAGATGTAATCCGTATTGTGTATGTACTTTTCTAAATACAAAAAAACGCATCTCAATATACACGTGTATATACTGATAGACTGAGCTTATGAACAGACCTTTTAAGTTGTCTTACACGCGCATACCGTCATTACAAAGATAGTCGAGTTAAACGACGTGGCTTTGTGATACGAGATCAAGTACGGATGAAACTTTTATTTGCCTAAAATTCATACCGATATGGAGGGAGTAAGGCCATCACCAAGGGCTTATCATCCTTGACAAATCTCGACCCGATCACAATTCCTGAATTGAAAGGATCTGGGTCGTAGATTGACATAAAGGCTTATTATAAATTATGTCAACAGTAAAAGTATGGCTCGTCCTCCCACTGCATACACGAGCTAATTCAAAAACAACCGACTACTAATATATACACGTTTTCGTACTCAACAGAAGCGGATCAAATGTTTGTCGTTACGTAACGGTATACCAGGTATTTTTTTTTCCACGTTGATTTAGTCAACTTAAATGTTTTAGGTTTTAAAGTTCTGTCTTCTCGGATTTCATTACACTATAGCTAGCTAAAGTAAGAGATAATATCAACATTGTACACAAATGGTCACAAACTAAATGGCAACTAATATCATAAGCATTTTATTTAAGCTGACAATGCTAAAGATAACCAAATCAAGTTGTTGATTAATGATTTTCAGTTCATTTTGCCTTCAAACTTTGTGTTCGTGTACTTACTCATATACAAATACATCCTCCATTGAACTCGCAGAGGAGATCGAATTCTGTACAGTTCACCGTGGTCGACTTCTGACAAATCGTCAACCATTTAATTACCTTAAGAAGAAACGACAATCCTTGTCACTCTCGCGGCCCTTTACTGTATATTGCGTATTTTAAATGTAGCACTGATCTAATAAACATACGTAACGATGAATTGAAGAGATATTGATTTCTGACACGAACGTTCCCAGTAACGCTACTGATTGAGTTCAGACGATCACAACAAACCACTTTATATTCACCATACAAACTGCACAAATGCTAGCTTAAACGTGAACATTGATATGTAATTCATATATTGTGTAATTAAACTTACATATTGTTATATATCATATATCAATAATTTTTTACTTTGTCGGTTATAGTTAAATACCTTCTATGATTTCCAATTCTAGTTCCCAACATTTTGGCAATCTCAAAACGCAGACAATTGTAAAGTTGTCTGTTTGCAAGACAGCATAGTTAATCCTATGGGGACCTTTGCCCTACCGAACATGTCAGTCGATTTTTATTAATTATTCACTATACACGCACAGACGTATACTTCATAAAGCAACTGAGTATGTCCTATCGAAGGATCTGGCTATTTCTATTCTCCTTCTGCCGTGACGTATGATGATAATTAATAAACAATGTGGTGACATTATGCAGTCTAGGTCGCGGTCTGTGGTGTGCTGTGGGTTACTATGCTACTACAACACAAATGACCAGCGACGGTACGCTTCATTTATAGTCAACAATGGTCAATAACAAACATGTTTAATACACCTGTCATTCCATGGAAAGATAACTCCGAAGGTACCTCGTGGCTTATTCGAACAAGTCTTAGTATGTTGAATTGTATAGGCTAATTCTATTTGAACTCCATCGTTATAATCGACTAACTACAGATACAATTTAATCAATTAACGTGTTTGAAATCGGCCATATGTTGTGAAACGCATTACTGTAATGAAAGCTTATTATAGTTGATACGTTAACTGGTAGCCTCAGTGGTAAATTTAATTGTTTTAGAAACTCTGTGATTATTTTAGGCATGTTAGCATTTGTACTCGACTCAGACACCATGCCGACACAGGAAAATAATGAATTGGAAACCGAGGCATACTTAACGATTTTTCAATGTCAAATAGCTCACTCTCGATCACTAATTCGTTGTTAAGAAATTGACATGTATCTAATACAAACAACAGTCAAACAGGGGAAAGACGTTCGATGACGAATGTTCATTTGACTTCAGTAAAAGCTTTAGTTACCAGGTACCAGGAAATCCATGTAGTCATTCATTCGCCGTGGATTGTTCACAAGGAGAATCGAGTTGTGTTAAGAACACTCATTTGAGATCAATTCAAAAGTCTTTGTTTCAATGAGATAAAATAAAAAAGAAAAGTTCTGCTCATATGCAGTTAAAGCAATTTCAAAATAATTTATTGAAATCGTATAAATATTAATACCAATGAACACCTGTCATAACTTTTAAGACAGAAAAAAATGGCATCCAATATCATTCGCGATTTTCATTTTGTAAGGTGAATATTTCATGCGAATCTGCAGTTAAATTCTGATACGTCACTGATCCAAATTCCTTTCACAATTGATGCATTTACTCGATTTAATTAATTTTGATAAGAAAGGAAACACAACAGATAATACTAATACATAGATTAATTTGTTCTTCTAAGGTACAAATGTCCTTGTCATTTATTAACAAACATAGTAACATATAGTGTTAAAAGTTTTCTGAAAGGAAACAGAAACATTATTATAGAGTTATATCAAAGTTTTATTTTGAACGTTGTGTTGATCATAGTTAATATTTCATGGTAATTTTATTTGAACTCAACATATCGACTGTCTAATTTTTTATGAAGATTTTTTAGAGGGAAACAACTCTTTGATTCATGGTAGATTACTAAATTTGATTTAAATGTTATTCATATATAATCATAACGACTTCTGTACAATCTTTTTGATGTTATTCTAATCAACGGGGTGTGTATTATAATCTATTTGAACTTTAAGTGACACAGTAGTCAACGTGGCCACTGCCAAAATGGTCACCTAAAACACTGCACGTACCTTAGGGTACTCGTCTAATAGGTTTAAGGGATTATCTTGATATGATTAGAAATTATATACTGGTGAGAGATATTTAGTGTTTGACTTCTACCCTGTAAGCATGAAATACAATTAATTTCTTTTTATTTCAATTTTTACACAGGTAAAAGGGAAGCGATCGTACAGGAACAACAAGTCTAGATTGCTAAGGGCACAAACCCCACAACCACCATGTCTTGTGACATAACGAACTACAAATGCTCCGATAAGGGGCTCATCTTGCCCCTTACGAACGAGTACACATGGGCTATCGGTTTCAGGGCCTTTATATACGTGGTAGGATTGCTTTATAGTTTCATGGGTGTGTCAATCATAGCTGACATCTTCATGCAGGCTATCGATACTATTACCAGCCGCAGTACCAAATTAAAGATGCCTGACCCCTCCAATGAGTCCGGCTATACCGAAGTGGAGGTAAAGACTTGGAACGGAACCGTGTCGAACCTCACTCTTATGGCACTTGGCTCTAGTGCTCCAGAAATTCTGTTGTCCATCATTGAAATAGTTGGAAATGGGTTCCAATCGGGGCCATTGGGTCCTAGTACCATTGTCGGTTCTGCTGCCTTCAATTTGATGTGTATCACTGGGGTTTGCATCATCAGCATCCCTGATGGTCTTTCTAAACGCATTAAGAGCATCAAGGTGTTCGCTGTAACGTCAATATTCAGTGTATTTGCCTATATTTGGCTTGCCATAATTCTGTTGGTTATAACACCCGATTTCATCGATTTTTGGGAAGCTATCGTGACTTTGCTCCTCTTCCCCATCATGGTCATCCTAGCATATATCGCCGACAAGGACTATTGTGGCAAAAGACCAATAGACGATGAAAGCAAGCTGCTTGAAATGGGTAAGTTATGTTAGTAACAAACATATTGTTAATCATACCAAACATGCATTGAATAAAATTTCATTTTACAATTGAATTAACACTTTCGAACAAACCTTTAACGCATGTTTTACAGTCGCAGGTAAAATATGAATTACAATTAAGTGCAAACATGCAATACGAAGAAAATCGTATGTAAAAGAACTTAAAAGTATTTTTTATGAATTGACGAAGACATTGAAATGAAACCTAATGGCGACAAAACTTCACATTATTCTTTTATCAAATTCCAACAGTTTTCGGAGATCTCCAAAAGATCTACCATTTTTTTTCCATTTTAAAGTGTAATGTAGCAACAATATTTCAAACTTTTATTACAGTTAAATTTTATATTCAGTATGACACTTTGTCTAAGTGTGTTTTGAAGTCGTGAATGATGAATCAACTTCATCACTGACGAAAGAATAGACTTACCCCATACTGTATTTTGCTATATTTATGATTACGTATGCTTTTTGGGGTATTGTACCCAAAGACGGATGCTTCATTACATGTACATTTAGTTATATTGAATTAATCATGGCCTTTTTCGTCTCTAGGGTAGGGAATGGAGGTTTTTCTAGTCTCATAATTCGCAATATTGATACAGACATTGTAATTTCGCTTTCCTTATTACACAAAGAAAATGAACAGTTGAAATCTATGTTCTGTGCCTTCCCGATGAAGATACAAAATACTATAAGCTGGAGATTTGTTAATAACAGTAATTCACAGATTGATCTCAGCCATATTTCTATTTCCTGTGTCCACGTCTAATTTGGTAATTTTGGAATAGTTCTTTTAATATTCTCTTGTCGTTTATTCCCATTTTGCTACACCTGGTTCTTTTCTAGATATAATCTTTCGGGAGTCTCCATGCAAATCTTTCTTTCTTCCTATTTTGCCTAGTTTTATTGAATTTGAGTTGGAAATATGATTATGTTAACAATTTGGTATTATCTTGGGTTTTTTCTAACGTTACCAGAAAGAGTCTTTAAATAAAACGGGTCCATTAAAATAAAGAAGAAGAAAAAAGTGTAGAAAGTCGATAACGATGTTTTATTGTTATATTAGATAACAGTGGAGGACGACTTCGTCTGAAATGCGGTTTGATATGTTTTCTTTATCTTTATGTTGCATATGGCCTGTCATTATACATGTATATAGATTACGAATAACAAATAGTTCTCAGTTATGTAGTGGATGTACCTAGTAATGTGGATTGTCCAATCGCAACCAAAATGACAAACTCGTATGTATTTAAAGAATATGACATGGGATTTTCTTCATATCAGATCTTTTCACTTCTTTGCGTCACAGGGGAGCAAAAATAAATAATTAAAAAGGAGTGTCATAAATACTGCGTGAAGAGACGCGAATGTCATATTCTTTTTATCATGTGACTGATTCATCACTTTTTCTTTGTCTTTCTACTTTCACTTTACCTTCGCTGCTGTCTGATCGTCAACGGTTTTTTATTAGATAACTGTTATCTTTATTCAATGAAGTGCTGTTTATATTTAGATACTTAAATTTATTTATAATTCAAAAAAGAATTACGGCACGTGATTGAGTCATTCACTATCACTGTCCTGCCAGAAGAGCACACTACATTTTTGAGCATGGGAGATTCAGATTGGACTGTCCAAACATTAATGTCATAATTGTCTCTAGGATTAATTTTTTCCGATTATGTGAATCGTAACAGCTGCCATGTCGATGATAGTTTAGTAAAACTTTGGTCTTTTTCTCACGTACGAATTGAAATCACAACTAAATGGACAAGACCGAGCAACACTGCAAATGCATAATTATGACATCGGTTTTATTACATTGTACAATGCGATAGTAATATGATAACGATATATGTATATATAGTATGTGCATGCGTTGTGGAAACTTAAAAACAGATATTCAATCATTTTTTAACTAACCCGGGAAAGTGTCCAACATCACAAATAGTGATAAGAATCATTCCGCCTATAAATCAGCATGACCACATCTCTAATTTTGTATATGTATGTCGACTACAATATACGTTTTATGTAATGGTCTATTGATACTGTCCTTTCTCCATGTGTGTAAGTGGAGGAGCAGGGAGAATGCAAGACGTGCATTTGTCGTGAGTAACAATTGGTTGTGGCCCTTTGTCAATGTTGTACAGTAAAATCCCAGTATCACATTACCATCCCCTCCGCCATTCTGTCCTTAAAGCAATTTATCTCTCATTTTGCCATTCTGCTTTATTGGGACGTTTCTTTGGTATCCAATACAAACATCAATTTTGCTATTTATTTTCATGCTATTGCGGACGGCTGTAAAATCACGCCATTGACAACATACAGGTTCTCACGGAGGCAATAGCTTGACAAATTATCAAAATGAATGTACCAATTCAAACACCGCAATTATTTTGTTCATTTGTTTTATCAGTACAAGTATTTGTTAATAAAGATTTTAATAGGCACATTAAAAAAAGACACTGTTTTATGCATATTTTGTTCCATTTGGACCACATATAGCATCATTAGTGGCATGGCCTAGTGCATGAATAACCCTTTCGTAGTTTATATCATGTCTATAAAATATTTTATCGTTGTTAGTTAACTGTATCAATTTCATTTTTTAATATTGGGAGTGTACATTTGTAGTTTCCCAATTAAGTTAAAATTGCCTTGAAATGATAAATTCTCGATTGTGACGTGTAACAGCGATTCAACTTAATTTTCAGTGTCGTAAAATAAATACACATTAATGGTCTCAACTGCTCTTTGGGGTTTCTTGTAAGAATTTATGACTAGCAGACGATATAATGTAATCCGACTCATGTTCATCTTATACAAAGGCTCTAATTACAGGCCACAATTCCGGCTGAGAAAACTCTGTCTAATTTTGATTACTCATTATATGTAATTTTTTTTAAATATTACTCTTTATCCGAGCTGTTTAATAGTCTGATGTTGAGACAAAATCCTTATTTTTTTCAGCTGATGACAATCTACTTAACGGAGACCATGCTGATAAACAGGTCATCGTCGAAATTCTCAGGGTACGTGACGATTCTGTATATGACGGCATATTTGTTTCATCGGCTTAAAACTGTTGCTCTTGTGATGTAGTCGTTTGTAATTCAGTGAAATATACCACCTAATTGAGTCATGCATTGTCATAAAGAATTGCCGATAGGAATCGCACGGCGCTTTACTATTCTCAGAACTAAATCTACAATTTATTTGAAAGATTTGCGTTTGAAAGAACAGATATACTCATTTGTACATGGGCCCAAACAGTTCCTTTAATTCTAGGAATTTTCTACGCTAAATCAAACAATAACGAATGATCAGAATATAAGATGAAGTGATACATAATATATTGACAAGGACTTCAAAAAGTTCCGATTAAAGAAACAAATAAAAATTATAAATGTTGCATTACCTCCAGTTTCATTATTTCCATATAAACGTGTCATAAACCTATTTGTCCTTGACCTTCTATGTCATCGTTATTTATAGAGGTTGAAGAAAGAGGACGCGTCTCCAGATGAGATGGCCCGACTTACGGCACATCTGATGGAGCAGAACCAGTCCCATGGCCGCGGCTGGTACAGGATCAATGCTATCAGGAATCTCTCTGGAGGAACAAAACTCACAACTCCAATGACCAACAAAACCAGCGAGGTGGGTTACCTTCTTGATTAAGTGTTGCGCAACAAAACAAGGACGTTTACGGCAAAGGAATGAAGAAGAATGTAGATTATAATCTGCCAAATTCTGACCCTACACGTCAATATTGTATTAAGTCATCACAGTTTGTTGTAATAGTGTAAACATTTTTTTTTCTTTTATCATAGCTGCTAGAGGCCTTGTTGATTGAAGATCAGATGGGCTCAACACCATCCTTTACATCCTTGAGTGATGGTGGTTCAAAGGCTATCGTCGAGTTTGCAGCGCCGTCAACAGCAGTTTTCGAAAAAGATGGTCATGCACGAATTACTGTTATGCGACATGGCAACCTTAATAAACGTGTTTTGTACAGGTAGGCTGTAACATACACTTTGGATTTTGCTATACGCATAATTTTGCCGATAGAATAGGAATATTAAGCTTTCCATCAGGTCTTACATGCAGGCTACACATTTTTGATTTGATTCCTATTGCTATTACTTTTTTATATAACAGGATCGTTTTTCGAATGCGATATTTGATCTGTATTGACAGAGCCACCCTACTGCAAAATAATTATATTTACGTTATGATTCATTTTCGTTTTCACATTATAAAGCTACCTTTCACTACTTTTAGAGATTTAACTGAAGACAGTAAGATTGACTGCTGTATCTAGGCTTGCAACTGTAGGAAATTATGATTATACAACACATGATCCAAGGAAAATTTTTCTTTCATTTATTTTTCAAATAGGTATTCAGATCGGCTTTTGTCTTATATTGGTGCTATGTCATATTTGTATTGACAAATAAACATACAACGACGAATAGTTTTAGCGAATAACTTTCTTTTTGTGTTAGGGTGGAGACAATAGACGGAACAGCTGTGGAGGGAGAGGATTACATTTCCTATAAGGAGACTCTGGTGTTTGAACCCAACGAAACAGAAAAACACATCGATATCCAGATTATCGACGACAACATTTGGGAACCTGATGAGGTTTTCTTTGGCAGAATAACACTTGATTCTGAGAAAGAGCCGGCAGTAGTTGGCCGAAGGGCGATAACTCAGATTGTTATACTTAATGACGATGGTGAATATTTTATAACTATCGATATATTCCGGTTTATGTTCAAAACATTTATTCAATCAATGAGAGGTCGGGTTTTTAAAAACGTGATTATATCATATGAAAGAAATGCTCCAACAGGCCAATTCAGGAGAAAATATGAGAATGCAAACAATCTTTCTTGATAGCTTTTATACTTAAAAATTATGTCCTAATTCAGTCCTAGACCATACATAGTTTTTAAAAGTTACATAGCTACTGGTGTTTACATTTCTGTGTAAACTTTGACACCCTCTGCTTGTCCCGTCCTCTGATATGTTTGATAAACTTCTTCTAGTAAAGATAAGTGCAAAACATGTTATAACATACATACATGTTACGTGAAAATCTATAAGATTCGTGATTGTGATTTTCGATATATTATCTGTTTTAGACCCCGGGGTATTGGAGTTCGAACACCCTAGTTTCCTATTCAAGGAGAGTGTAGGGACAGCGCTTATTCCAGTGAACAGGATAGACGGAGCTGACGGTAAAATTACAGTTGAATGGAAAACCAAGGACATGACCGCCATTCACAGTAGAGACTACGAAAATTCCGAAGGAACGCTCACATTTGATCACGGCGAGAGGACAAAGTTCATCGAAATTATGATCAACGACGACAAGGTAACAGCCCTATATTACCCTTTTTAATTCGTCATGTCGTCAGACATCAGTTTTATTTGAAAAAAGTCGTTTTTAACCTTGATTACAGTGTTGTAAAGAAGAAATCTTAGTAAAGTGTTACTGACATTTTATGTAACTCATTCACATTGCAAGTTGAACTATAATTTTAAACATGTACTGATATTTGTATCATTCTACACGTGAATAATGGAAAGGTAATATTAAGTAAATTCTCATAGTTTTGGTTTCATTTTGGTGAATTTAAAATTTGTAGTTACGTATGATCACGCTGACTGCTATTCTTTCTGAAAAGTGAGTTATCTATCCTGCTACAGATTTGAGTTGGGACAGTTGATTAACAAAGAAAAACAAACATTTGAATAAAGGTACAGGGATTCTATGGGTTTGCAGTCAGCATTCTTTATAATCAAGAGAATGACACACTAAAATCACACATAGATATTTAGATATTTTTGACGTGTTCTTATTGATAGGAATTTGAAAAAGACGAAAATTTTGAAATCAGCCTGATAAAAACAACTGGTGGAGCTAAACTTGGAAAACTGAAGAGGACTGTTGTCACTATTGTCAACGACGACGGTACGATTTTACAGCGTTTACTATTAAACCTTATCAGTTTGCCGCAAGGTGTATGCCATGCTTTAATTAACTCGAATAATGACATTGTTCAGAATAAACACATGTACTTTACAGTCTCATTAAGTTATAAGATAAATGAAAATTACCAAATTTATTACATTATGGGGCTAGTGCACCTGCCCATCGAGACACACTTTTCGATTTCTTAGGATTTTCCGAAGTTGCTTCCTCAGCTTCAAAAGATTGACGAAACAGCTGTATGATGCAGTTTAATTCACTCTTTGACTCAACTGTATCTAACTTTCAATTTGTTGAAAGGTGTATCTTTTGTACAATACTTTATATGCAAATTGTAAGAAAATACCTGTATAATGGTATGACATAGTCTTCATATGAAAATGAGAGAGTTTAACCTTTATATTAATGAATATATATTCTGCCTTCGTATATATATCATGAAACATGATATAAGTACAGATTTGATCAATATAAAATCCAAACGCGATATTGACTATTTTTTCTATTGATATTCTATATACTTTCAGAATTCAGTGGTCTTGTAAGTCGAATCACCAGTCTAACGAATGCCAACTTGGACTCGCTCCGCCTGCAGAAACAAACGTGGGGACAGCAGTTTGTAGAAGCTATGAATGTCAATGGAGGAGATTTGGAAACCGCAACGACATTTGACTATGTTATGCACTTTTTAACCTTTGGATGGAAGGTAAACAATTAATATTTTTACTTGGAAAAATAACGAAAACATACCTCGAATTATGTTTGGTTTGACTTTCAAGATGACATACCCAAATAACATCAAAGCCAAAATAACACCAGAAGCATTACCTCCTTTGATAAATACGGGGAAAAATCAGAAACGTGTCCCGTTCATTTAAATTTAATTTTTCACCAGACTTGAACTGCTGTTAGTTTGTGCTAGTCATTGAAGCCACCATAGGAACTCTTTTTATCGACGACACCTGATAGGTGATCTTGGTTATGACTTGTGATAACTTACATGGACTCTAATACTGGTGTCTTATAAAGAATTATAATTTTATGCAAAGGACATATAAGTGAATTAATGTTTTGCCTTAATCATTTAATTGCAGCTTATCTTTGCCTGTGTCCCACCGGCCACTATATGGGGAGGATGGTTTTGTTTTGTTGTGTCTTTGATTATGATCGGAATTCTCACAGCTTTCATCGGAGATCTGGCCACAATTTTCGGTTGCCTCATTGGCCTGGATGATAGCGTCGTAGCCATTACTTTCGTTGCCTTAGGAACCAGTCTACCAGACCTGTTTGCCAGTCGGACAGCAGCGCTAAATGAAAAATATGCTGACACGGCAGTTGGAAACGTCACAGGAAGCAACGCTGTTAACGTTTTTCTAGGTCTCGGTTTGCCATGGTCAATGGCGGCTATCTACTGGGGATCTAAGGTAAATTCAGTGAAACGTCAATGTTCTAGACTGGCTAATTAATTTATACTTTAATTTATGCATTTGAACATACTTTGGTTTCAAAAAAAGTATTGAAGATGAAAATTGAAAATTATACTGTATCACATTCAGCTGGCAGGAAAACTATTGCATCGATTTAAATCTGACCCTAAATGTTGCGGAGATGTTTGATTCTAAAAAAAACCAAAACCAAATGATAAGTTAATTGCTTTTGTAGGGGACAACGTTTGAGGTACCTGCTGGAGCACTGGGGTTCAGTGTAGTTGTGTTTACTATCTGTTCCCTGATAACGATCATGTTCCTACTACTCAGACGCAACGTGACAGTGTTTGGAAAAGGAGAGCTTGGAGGACCCAAAGTTCCCAAAATAATATCGGGCTCATTTTGCATTTTTGTGTGGATACTATATGTACTGTTGGCTTCGTTAAATTCATACGAATACATTCCAGGATTTTAGGCGTAACAAATAGAGAAATAAGATAAAGTAAGGTGTTAGGTTGTCAAAGGATCACATGACTTCAGTGCTTAACAATAGGGTACCAGGTGTATGTCAAAGTAGAGGAGATTATCAAAACACAGACAAATGATTTTGAGCCAATGCTTTTAGTTAGTGACTTTGTCGCAATAGAATGTCATAGATCTGTTGATAAATAATAATCAGCAAGTTAATTGTTTCCGACTTCTATTGAATGTAAACGCTTATTATAAGTAAAGCTAAAGCTAGAAGGCGATTTGTACTAGGCTGATATGAGAGAGTCATTATATTGATATTATATGCATAGGTTGTGATGTCGTGAAGTGACAACTGCCCAGATTTCCGTCCATTTCTTGTAATTATGTAGATATGTATAGTTTAGATAAGACTTTATTAGATAGAACACTACCAAAGAACTAACCTTTTCAGGGTGTATACATAACATTCTTATAGGACCTTAGAAAAAAATTGTTGAATCGCATATGTGATACCGCAAAGTCGGTTATTTATCGCGGGAAAGAGATTTTTCGCTATTTCCTGGCTGTTCAATGACGTGATCGCGTAAATTTGATCTGTCTAGAGTAACGGCGTGTTACATGTTTCGATGCTCTTAACCTATAAGATCAATTAATTGGGAGCACCGTAACGTCACAGTAAGAATATGTAAATCTTTCATGCTAAGAAAGATTGATATCAAGTAAATGGTAGATCGCCAAATTTTAGTTCGTGAAAATTATATCTACTGGACTTATATTGAAATCGAGAAACTTTTCCCCCGCAAAATAACTGGCTATTCGGTAGTGTTTCAGTTTACATTTTTGTTTGTTTCCGTCCATCCTATTTCTTATTAAAAGGAAAAAAATATAACGACAGAAATGTTTATGCTATTTTCTTTTTCTTAGATGAAACAAACTATAACTGATGCTTTAACTGGCCATGGTACTAGTTTGATAAATTTTAATAGAACAGAAATCATTATATGGCATTATTTTGTTTTATTTGTTACATATCGTGAATAGTTTATGAGTGCTGATAAACTGTATGAAGATTTATTTTTATTTTCATGCTGTATTTTTTTCCATTATTTAAACTATTAATTCTTAACAACGCTGTGATAAATGTAGAGGGGAGCATTGTATCCCCTGATAGAGAAACTTGCCTATGTCATACCATTCCGTATCAAAAGTTTTATATCATACAAAATCTAACCCACAATCGTATTTGTGTCTATCATTTCGATTCCATCAAAGTATTTTATATCCGTTAATTGGATAAAAATGAGTGGTAGCCAGGATGAAAGGAATGCGTGTATGTTATTGGTTGAATTACTGAACTACAAAATAACGTTTTATTTAAGATAGTTTTATCAAAAAGCAATTATATTGATATTTTTGTAAAGAAATAGTCACATTTAAAAAGTTACATCAAGTAAAATACGCAGATGGACGATGAGTAGCTAGTAACGACATAAAAATATGAGAAGTGAACAGACGTCACCATGTAATAACCAAAGAAGCCTTGTAGATTCTATGATCACTGGCCAACATCTTACTGTTCTCAAATTTATTTTGCAATTGTCACAATAAAAGAAAAAAAAACTATCTCAGGGTCTTTGCTGATGGCTTTTTGTCGTGAAAGTTTTCCTAGTCCTTTTTTTTCAAAAAATATTCTTTTTTTTTTAAATAAATACAATTCAGTAAATACATCGCTGTTCTGTATCACACCATTACTCATTTATGTCATCTTTATACCAGTTGTATAGTGCATTTGATCATAGTGCTTTTAGTTTTTTATCATGTCATGTTTTTAAACAAAAATGTCTGTGATATGAAAAATATGAAAGTAACAGTATTTTAACAATTAATTTATATTAATTCACAGTTTGTACAATTTTGATATTTGACAACGTAGAGAAATATTAAAATTCATGGCCAGGTAACTTATGTGTTTGTTTTACTTACGTGTAACCGCCTCTCAAAACAATAAAGACAACAACTGTTATTGATTTTATGAAGTATCACCTGTCAAGAGGGATTCACTTTCAACAGGACTGGATGATGGAAGGAACAGGTGCCTTTTTAGAGGTGTTCTGTGGGTCTTGAGAAACTTATAAATGACATTTTGTACAGTTTCCACCTTTCAATTATTCTCGATAGAGAGGTGTATACACCAAGAAAACAATTTAAATGTAAAATAAAGATAAGAATGGTTTGAACTGTTTTTACTTAATACAAGCATTCTGTGTAGGAGTTTATTTCCCTTTCAACACATCCAATGCATGTATATGCCAAGTTTAATTTGGGAGCTGTTAATTATGCATCTTTCATCTTCAACCCAGTAGGTTTTTATCGATCGAATAGCTCCATTGCATGATACCATCACACATACAAACATCTTCAAACAGATGGACAATCAGATACAAGCCGGTTGATATCAAGTTTGGTCCAACTATCGTTCCAAAGGGGCTATTAAGATGAATAAGGAGAAAATGACATGACTATTTCGGATTGTGGTTAGTCAATACATGAAATGAAGAAGAGAAATTTAAAAGGCAAATTAATTATGCAGTTTTTCGGAAAAAGTCGTTTAAGAGAAACAATAATCCTTAAACACACAAACAAAAATTTACAAAAATGTCGTTTTACCGACCTAACGTTTCCGGATAATATTAAACAAAAAATAATAACGGAATATCATTTTGAGAAAAAGAGATATCTATTTTAAAAAAGAAATTGCAATAATGACAAATTAATAAATAATCGTATTTCGAAATCACGTAAGACTGTTGCGATAAATACATAAATCTCTACCAACTCGAATATGTATTTATATACGTCTAGTTTATGGTTTTAGAAGAAGAGCGTTCAACGAATTTCGGAGTTTTAGACTAAGTGAATGATCACTGCATCAAGTGAACTGGTGAGTATGGATATGGGATGAAAACCAAAACAATTGAACACTCCGAAAATGTTGAAAACAGCTACTCCTGATAAAGAGACACGAAAACCAAACTATTACATTTATGACAGACCGAGAACATGAAATAAGCTATTTAGATATACACTTTGCAAGTCATTTAACAGGAATGAAGAAACCAAAAAAGGAAACGAGTAAATATATTGAATATACCTGGCAGGAAAAATATATGCACTTGTGTTGTGTAAAAACCTATTTACTGATTGTGAAAATATCATAAAGAAGAAGAATGAAATCATAACGTAATTTAATGTTAAATGAATTGTTTCGCGAATCATTTACTTAGTGTCAGAAACCATAGAACAGTACAATGAAATCAGGTCATAAAACGATACTAAACGATGATAAAAGTAGTTGCATTAATAATAAATTAATAATAGAACATTAGGCCACGTAATTATACTAGAAGCGATAATAAATTATTTTCATGTAATCTGATACACAATTCAATAATTTGTCATTGTCAACATACAAATGACCTAAGTGATATATCGCCCCTATCAATACCCATCTTACTGCTATAAAGACCTTACACCATATAATTATATCTTACTGGTAATTGTAGAGTCGAAAAAGTTATTTTAAAGTGTCCAGAAATTGTCTGAATACCACAAGTTGTATTAGTAGTATAATGAAAGAAGGAATAGCCAAAACCTTAATGATGATTCGGTGGAGGGCAGGCAAGACCATTAACTGTATCTGCATACAAATGTTCTAGTCAACCATACAACCTGTCTGCACTAATGCATGATTGTCGGTTCAAATTATTGTATACAAGCCAAAACAATTTTAAATCATCAATGTATTGAAGATAAATTATGCAATATATTCTAAACGTATCCCTTCTTAACAATGTCAATTATGAAACACGTTCCCCATATGCAGTTGAATTTCTTTCAGTTGTCAGTCCCATTCTGAAAGCAGTTTAATGTTTAGTATTCCAGACCAGGAAGCTAGCTGCTGTTGGCTTCAATAAGAGTTATTTCCCCTTTCACATCTCATACAAGTATGTCGTCGGTTGGTGCCCCATTTATTGAAAGCTATTTGATATTATTTTCGAAAAAAATGTACTGCATTTGATTAGTTAATTATTCTAGAAGGTTTGACGTTTAAACCAAGAGAGTAATTTATTCTGGAGTGTCATATACATACAAAGCAATAACATGCAATATATGAAAAATAGAAGCCTGTATTAGAGTAAATCTAAATCGTTGTACATTTACTATCAATTCTCTATACTTTTATATAGTGAATAAAGTCTGAAATTCCAGATGTTTAACCAAGAATAATAGTCAACATCACGACATTGATGGCATTCTCAATAATAGGTGAAATTTATAGACTGGATTTTCAGTCAGCATTTGTGATGTTGAAACCGCGGACCAAACAATGATGTGGTCAACACTTAAAGAAAAAAATATGACAATATCATTTCAACATTCATAAACATGCTGAAAAATAGGTACAAATCTACACGAATTACATATTGTTTTCAACAGCAACAAAGAAAATAACAACGTGTCAACAGAATCTCAATTCAAACACTAATTCGATAAAACTTTATTTCCAAATCTAGTGGGTATATACCATGGACATTGTCAATAAATATTTTGCCACTGAAACACAAGACTTCATCAATATATGAAAGTGAAAGTGAAGAACTTCGCAAGCCCTTGGTGACCAGAGTTGATAAGCTCTTCGAAGATTTCATCCTTTTATGAACACCAGAAACAAATAAGCCAAGACAGAGGCACAGCTTGTTTCCATAGGTATATATGTCAAGAGTCTTTTGGAAGATATTGCCACGGAACTTGAAATTGGTATTCGATTATTTGCAGGTTTTTACTAATAAGGTAGCACTAATGGTTTTGATCTGGTAGATCCACTGTTGTGTGCCAAAGCATTTCGGAAGTGCATTTCGGATAGTATTTGAATTTGGTGTTGGGTGGCAATGTTGCCTAATGAAGAACATTCTTGTTACTAGAAAGCTTACTTTTCTTATATAAATCTGTTTGCAGTATCAAATTGAGGA